TACTCACTTCTCCTAATGTCATGCATTTTACAAATTCCTCCTTCCACTGTTATTCAAAGAGAAATGAATGACTTCAATAATAAATCCGTTTTTCTTTCTTAGACGGTTATTATGAACACAAGCTCCCAATGTAAATAATGCATGAAAACATTTGTCGCGCGTGTTCGGGCAAAACCCCAGCCTGTAATCTATCAAAGTGAGACATGCGCAGAATGAGACGCTGTCCCAGGTTCTGTCTTCTTTCATATTTACACACACATTCGGTCAGAGGCTACGGCTGCATTTCGCCGCCTCGAACGGAAATAAATTAGTTGTCCAATCGTCTGATATTTGAAATCGGAGATTATTCTACTTGTTCCTCCGTCCAAATCCGATCCACTTCTGCTGCTGTTGCTGCTGCTAACTGTATTTTGATTGATAAGTATACATCGAGTGAGAAAATCCATCAAATATCTGCATGCTTCTTCATAGGTACCGTGAACCTTTAGGATGCGAAAAATCATGGCTCTCCCTTTGTAGCTCTTAGTAAGGTTTGTCTCGTTACTATCATTCTTCACCCCTGTTCAGCCGGCCATTAACAAAAATGTCATTAGGTAGGTTTCTCACTGTTTCTTGATGTTTCTTTTGCTTCAAAATTCCTGTCAGTGGCAAGCTCTCTTTCTGATTGGTTTATCTTGTTTTACGTCATAAGCCGCAGTGGTTTATTTAATGCTGACAAGATTTTTAGGATAGGTTATTATGAATAGAATATGTATTCTTTGTAAGGAATCAATTCGTAAATAAGGTTTCATTGACGTATTTTTGAAAAGAGGATTTTTGTCGTGAGTTAAATGTATTGCTGTCAATTCTTTTCTTCCAAAAATATATTGTTCGTGTTTTTACTATAAAAATCTATTTTTATACTTTCAACATGTTTTGACCCCAATTTGGGGGTTCACTATTTGCCCATAGCTGGGACCCTGACAGGTGCTACCACCTCGAGTCAGAGTGGACCTGGGAACATCAGGAATTAAGAGGTGGTTCCATGCTCCTCAAAACCTCCAGATCAGTGGCATTGCTGCCGGATGTAGTTGATCATCATACCCAGGACATCTCTTTCTGAATTTTGTGCCCTAGAAACTTCAACTATCTTTTACTGATTCGAAGTATAAATGTCCTTTTTGTTTCCATTAAAACTTCCTTGTTTTTCACATTTCCTTCCGTTGTATTCTCAGCATCCTTCTTTAGAACCGCATTTCCCTTCATCAGTGAGGAAGGTTTCTGACCTTCGCTGTCGTAGAGGAGGCTTGATTACATGACAGTTAAGCACTGTTTTCTTTGTTTATAACAGAATTTTCCTGTTTCTTAATACTTTGTTATATTTTTGGAAGGCATCTTTCACAAGATTCTTACTGTTCTATTGAATTTAAGCGCAATACTAGACTGGCGTTGATATCTCCTTAATTTACAGATGAGCTGGCGAGATGTAACCATAAATTTTATGCTCACAGTTTCTTTTCTCTCTTTTCTCGCTTATGGAACTCCCTTCCGGCTCCATGTTTTCCAGTCAACTTTAATCTTCAAAAATTTAAATGCAATGTCAATCGCTATCTATTGTCCTCCTGATTACTCTTCTTTTGTTCCCGCTTCTTAGTAATGTTTCTGTTTTCTAATTCTTTACCACCCGGTAATTCCTTGTGTCTTAGTGGCTTTATTGCCTTGCTTGAGGTGAACTCGATATATATATATATATTTCAGCAATGCTGCGTTTTTGTTTTAATGTGACTCTTGTAATGATAAAGTATTGCAGAAAGTGAAGATCAATTCCAAGTGCAGTAGAATAAACTGACCATTTTTCCAAACTTTTATTAATGAGCTCCCGTTGAGATCTGGAATAGACTTGATACACAATAAATGTTCTAGGTTTCATTGAGATCTAATGAAAAAGCAATAGGCCACCTTTCTACATGCATGTAGAGTAAACGGAAAGCACTCACGTGATAATGGGCAGGTAGCCGAATGGTTAGAACGTTCGCATTCTAACCATGAGACCCGGGTTCAAATCTTACCATGGTCGATTTGCCATGATGTTATCCCAAGTCTTATGAGTAAAATTGGGTAGACGGAACCCTTGGGAGACGTCGATAGTAGTACTAGCACGAAATCAAAAGTAATCGTGGCCGAGGGCTTGAGCGGGCTGACCTTGTTCAAATTGTTGATCACGATAAAACGCTCTTTCCCAGAAACTGTAACTAAGCTGTAACACCTGAGTGCTAATGAGGTAATTGCAGCATAAACCACAGGTAGGCTCTGCGAGTGTTGAATAAACACAAATGCTCAAGCGTCTACAATAAGGTTTGGCTAGCCGCCCTAGTAAAAAGATATCCTCGAATACTAGTGGACAGCTATACATGTGAAACGATTTGGCCAATGAAAATTAATGGAGTCAAATTCGATTTCTGGACAACTACAAGAGAAATCTACTTTAAAAACAAACTCTTGCACGAAGAACGAACGGACAGATTTCTCAAGTCGCAAGTAGTTTATACGAATTACGACAGGCACACACCATATTCTTAGAGACGTTATTCGTTTCCACTGAATAAATTCTCGCTGTTTCATAAACCTTATTCAGTTCTTTCCTTGTTTATTTCACCGGAAAACCAAACTCATCCTTGCTCATTTCGCCTTTTTTTTTATTCTTTTATTTTTGTCTTTTCTATCATTTTTTTTGATCGTCAGATTCTCATAATAGAGACCATTTCAGAAGATCTGGCGATCTGTTTATCGCCGTGAAACTTTTCGCAGAGTGCACGATTGGTACGATTTTTAATAATATCCAAAAAAATGTAGTATGCCTAGTCTATGTGGCTCTATATAAAGGACATTGAACACTGTATTAAAATTCAACGTTAACCTGCGTTTGGCTGATGTGAGTTTCAATTGAATGTTAAACAGTTTAACTCAGCTACGTAATAAGTTGTTCCACATTAATTCTATTAACACTCTATTTTTACCTTTTGACAGCGAGCGCTTTATGACAAAACCTAGCTACCTAAAATGCTTTTCCATCAGTAAACTGCGGAAAAAGAAACAGCAATTTTGGCACCTAAGAACTCTTACAATTAATATTATGTATTATAATATATATATATATATATATATATATATATATATATATATATATATAAAAGGAAGAGGTTATAGTAGTTCCAACGAGAGAAAAGTGTGTATAACAAAAAGAAGAGAGAAACTGCAAAAGTTTTTGCTTGTAAAAAAATATTATGCTTTATTTTCCATAATTTTGCCATATTTGTTACCTTCATCAGGCAAAGAGTGGGTATTTCTCCATATAATCACTAGGAATTAATTTTTCTTATGTTTTTCGATGTTAAATATTGTCGATATTAGACATTCTCTTTTTTGTGTGTTAGTGTCCCAAATGCCTTTCTTGAACTATATAAAATGTCTGTATATATATATATATATGCCATTTTTTAATATATATTATATATGCGCAGTACTTATTGGAAAGTGCTCAATATCAGTGATAGAGCTAACTTATTTAGTTGGATTGATGTGAGTTAACGACCCTATGTTTCACGCTATTTGCGATGGACAAACTGACTAATTTTTAAAATGTTGGATTTATATATGGTTGCGTACATCAGTGTCTTTGTGGTGGTGGGAGCTAAAACTGTCGTCGGAACGCCACTCATACGTACGCAGACATATATATATATACGAACGTTCACACATTGCAGTAATCAATTTGTCTGACGATCGCAAATAGCGTGAAACCCAGAATCTTAAACTCCCATCAATCCAAACAGCAGACCATATTTTCACTAAGCTTCCACCTTAAGTGGTTCTAGAGCTTTGCAGTAAGTGAAATTTAGTATTAAAAGGGGTTGCAAAATAAGCACAATGAACTTAGCTTTGTATACCCGAACTTCATCACATTGACGTCACTTCTATTTGGGACATCAAACGTCTGGAGCTGTTCCAGCAAACGAAGCTCCGAAGTATCCTTCGTATCAGTTGAGAGGACCACATCACCAACAACGAGATCCTCTGTCGCACATCTCTCCCCAGCATCGTGGCTACCATCATTCAACATCGCCTCCGCTAGGCGCACCGCATGTCCAGCTTCGTATCATTCCTTCATATCATCCTGTTTGGAGAGGTCGACAGTGGCAAGAGATTACGCGGAGGCCCCCAAAACAATGCTTCAAGTGTCAGTTAGATATCTCTGACATCCAAGCCAACATTAACCCTGAGACCTGGGAAACCGTTGCTGCGAATCGGTCTTCCTTTCGAGTCTAACCGTCGATATGAATAGGATCTGCAACGGGCTGTCAGGAGGGCTTAACGCGCCCAGCCACGTCCACCACCAACAGCCCTGCTCACGACACTCCAAGAGTAGGCTGAGACTTCACAGTCATCTCCGTCACCAGGAGGGGAGGAAAGAAATGAGTATGGCGATCCCAATGTTCGGATGCCAGCGGGGGCCGACGACGATTAAATATGCTTGAAAATTATACACAATGAACCTAAGCTTGTATATTCAAACTTCATCACGCGACTTAGCTTCTATTTTCTCTAAACACTATAATCCTAGAATTTGCTCACCTAAGCTTATAATTCTTAAAATCACCCTTAAAAGAATTATATTGTTTAACTTGAGACAATTTTGATAAATATCCAAAGACCCTATTTATTACAACGTTTCGGCTGTTGTACGCTCCGGCCTTCTTCAGGTGGTTGGAATGTCGGACTGAACCCTTTATTTCGCTCACTGAGGTAGACTGTTCTAATTCCACATGCCATGTTTAATGGATGTCAGTTATCAGTTATCCCCTGTTAATTTCCCCCTGAAAGTTCTGCACTTCCTTAACCGGGTAGTCCGAATAATACCTCATCTCAGAAATATAAACAGATATCCAAAGACCCTGCATACCAAATGTTCGGGTATCTTTGTTGATTGCAACATTATCTTTTGAAGATGAAGATATACTTACATCGAAAGGAAAATCGTAATTATCACATGTATCGAAAGCTCTTTCGTATTCCACAATCATTGCATGGTTATTATAGCGTCCGGAAAGTATTGTGTAGTCCTGCTGGTCATCTATGTGAAGGAGGCCATTTTGGTCAGTCCAGGCATCCTACAATTGGAACAAAGATAATTATAGCAAAAAATATTAGGAAGAACAAGTCAAAACAATTATGATAAACGAATTTTTAATCGGTTTCACCCCAAGCAAGACAGTAAAGCCAATAAGACGCAAAGGGTTAATAGATGTGGAAGAATTAGAAACAGAAACATTAAAAATGAGCGGGAAGAGAAAATTGTAAACAGGACATTAAGATAGTGCCTGACATTGCATTTAAATTTTTGCAGATTCATGTTGGACAGAAAGCATAGAACTAGAAGAGAGTTCCATAATCGTGAAGTGCAAAAAAAAAAAAACTGTTGGCATAGAATTTACTATTACATCTAGCCAGTTCAACTGTAAAATGATGAGATCTCGATGCCGGTCTAATACTGTACTTGAATTCAAAAAGTATACATATCATAGCAAAGAGCTCATCCGAACAATTACTATGAAAGTATTTATAGAAAAAACACAGAGAGGCAACCTTATGGTGATGGGAAGGTGACTGAAGATGAGCTGCTAGATCAGGACCAATAATATTGCACATTCTTCTCTGGATTTTATCAAGGAGCTCAAGGTAAATAGCTGTGACACCGGACCATATGTGACATTAATAATCTAAGCATGGACGAATGGTAGACTTATAGCTATGTATGATAAATTCTGGAGGGAAAATTGTCTAGCCCGACACAGGAAACCAAGTATATTATTATAATTATTTTTAATTTACGCAAATATTATACTAGTATTAATAGTATTAGATATTTTAAACTTTTTTCTTCGATTGTCTTCGACCCAAATCTACTGATATGAATGTTCTGAAAATCGTCAACAATATTCTCACTGACTACAATTGTCATTATATAATACTCGGTGGGACTCCTCATATATAATACTCGGTGGGATTCCTCATATACAGGGTGGTTTAAAAGTAGGTGGACAGTAAATAATTACATTTATTTTGAGATTACATATACAGAGTAACCCGGATATAAGAGAAACCCGGATATAAGAGAGATTTTCTCTGGTCCCAAATTAGAGCCTGTGTTAATGTATATAAAATAGACCAAACCCGGATATAAGAGAAACCCGGATATAAGAGACTTCTTCTCCGGTCCCGACAACTCTTATATCCGGGTTACACTGTACATTAAATTATATTTACTAACACAATTATTACATTGACAATTAAATTTTATTGTGAACAATAACAGAAAAGCCCTTAATTTTTATTGTGGACAATAATACAAAAGCCCTTAAATTTTATCAACGCAGGTGTTCAAACTGTTTTCCATCATAATTTACACAGTTTTGAAGTCTACCTCTAACGCTTGGACAAACTTTTTTGCACAAGTCTTTTTGGGTATTAATTTCTTGAAATGCATCTCTTATGTAATTTTTCAAATCACCGACACTTCTTAGTTTTTGACTATAAACACTGTTCTTGAGTACTCCTCAAAAGAAGAAATCCATTGGGGTCAAGTCTGGTGAACGTGCCGGCCAATCAATTGGACCTCTTCAGCCAATCCATTTCTCAGGAAATGTTTCATCAAGATACTCAGTTTTAATAATATAACCGATACATAATCCTGTTTCACATACAGTCCACCTACTTTTGGACCATCCTGTATAGTAAAGTGCATCTAACTTATTCGTAATTCTACTTAGGATCCTTCTCACTGCATACAAACACTCTCTCTCCCTCTCTCCCCCCTCTCTCTCTCTCCCTCTCTCCCTCTTTCTCTCTCTCTCTCTCCCTTCCACATGCGCCCAAGAGCGCGCATACACAAAACTGCCTTGTCGGCGGTACCAAGATTACAAGCCGGCTGCTAAAGAGTACCACCTACAGAGTAATTCCTTAAAACTTAAATATAAACATTTATCTATTCCCAAGCAAAGTCAATACTTAGAGACTCACTTCTAAACGACCAATATTTGCCTCGCCTTGAACAATGAAGAGGATTCGGAAAGAGTTGGATGATATATCCAGTCAACATCATGGTATTTGGAGTGATCACTAGTGAAGGCAACATTATGCCTCCATTCATCTTCCTACAGAGCTTTAGACCCAACATCAAGTGCCTTGAGAACGCAGTGCAGCTGTGGGTCAAGAGGGTGGCTGATGAAAGAACCTATGTCTAGCAAAAGGACTCTGCACCATGTCACACAAGCAGAAGAACTCAGTTATGGCTGTCAGACATTATTTGCGAACATATCACCCCTTACATCTGGCCACCGAACTCCCCAAACTCCAACTTTTGATTATTGTATGTGGGGCGAGGTTAAGCGAGAGACCAAGAAAACGCCTTGTAACACTAAAGATGAACTGAAGGCAACGATTATGGCAGCATTCACCAAATTAAACAAGGAGATCGTCCAGAAGAGTTACAGGAGATTCGGAAGTCGTCTGGAGGCCGTGGTTGAAGACAACGGTGATTTTCTTGAATAAATTTACTTTTTAGTATTTTAAGATATTTTTATGCAATTCTGTTAAATATATCTATTAAAATGAGATGTCAGTGTTATTTTCGTTTTGGTGTCATTCAGACGATAATTTATCCATCGCACCCTGTATATCTGTTAAAATGAAATGTCAGTGTTATTTTGATTTTCGCGTCATTTAGACGATAACTTATCCATCGCACCCTGTATATATGTTAAAATGAGATGTCAGTGTTATTTTCATGTTTACGTCATTTAGACGACAATTTATCCATCGCATCTTGTATATCTGTTAAAATTAGATGTCAGTGTTATTTTCATTTTTGTGTCAATTTATCCATCGCACCTTATACATTATGATATATGTTTTCTTTCTTGCCGGAAATGGTGTCATACTACTTTACGCCAAAATATGAAAATATCTTGCTTTTCCTATTCGTCAAGACGGATACGAGTTTGTACGATCGAATCCAATTCGTTTGCATAATTCCCAAAGATCTCCTGTCCCCACTCATTTTCGCTTATTTTAATATTCTTTTATATAAGCCAAATAATGGAACTCATTGACAATGTCACCGTTTCGTCTTCACCTCATCTCTCTTTCCTCATCCTATTACTCATTGTCTCCTTCCTCTTTCTTCTACTTCACCTTCCTCTTCGTCTTTTCCCTAATCACAATGTCTTACTCCTATTGTTCTGGTTATTATTTCTTCTTATGCACTTATTTTGAATTTCTTTTAAGAATGATTCGTTTTAGTTATTTACGTTTCTTTTGTGCAGCCATGAACAGATTTCATCAACTATTTTTTTTGTTTTTGTTTTGGCAAATAAATTCTTCAACTGCACATTTTGTTTTCCCTCTCTTTGAGTTTAACTTCTTTATCGCTCTTTCCCAGATTATTTGGTATTTTCTGAATTCGTAGACATTTTTCCAATTTCGCTCTGTAAATTGAATTATTTATATTCAAAATGAGGTAAGGCTTATGGCCATATCACGTTGAAACACCGGTCTCATATGATCACTTGGAAATACCATGTGCTGTAAGCTTGGATGTGCGGGTGGTGTAATTGATAACGGCTCAGAATTGGAAATCCGAGAGCCGAGTTCCAATTCCAATCGTTATATTCACTTCCGCGCAAACACCCTTGAGAAAGGCATGAATCCACTTCTACTACCTCCCAAGCTATGGGTTAATTAGTAAGACTTGTATCAGTAATTCATTATCGTCACCAAAAAATATTCCAATTTAAAAATATTTGCTGGCTTTATATAACCTTCAATAGGTTGAGAAGCCGTAAGAAAGAAATTAATCAATCTAAAGCAAAATTACGTAATCTACTATGCTGATCTCCCCTTTATCCTTCTTTGATCTTTACAGTCAGCCTGTCCCTATCGCATCGAGGATTTAAAGTTCTATTCTGCCTAATCAGCATTCTGATTTACTTTTTAGTTAACCCTATGAAAAGGACAGATTATCGAATTATCGTTGTTATGTAGATCTTTCGTCCTTTCACTGATTTTAACATTTATTTTTAGTTCCCAAATCTTACATATTCTCCTTCAACAATTTTTAATTATTTTTCTTTTATTTTTACCACTGTAAGCATCTTCTCTATACCATTTGTAAGGAAGATGTTCCTCTAAGTGTTTTTCTCGAAGAACTGCTACTGTTTGCTTCCCCGAAAGATTTTAACTTTTTCAAGTCAAGAGTCAAATCGTTATGTATGATCCTTATCCTCATAATTGTCATTTCTTTTAATCATTTCATCCCAAGCAAGGCGATAAAGCTACTAAGGTACAAGGGGTTGCTGAGTGCGAAAGAATCTGCGATAATTATTATTATGGTGAGAGGACACTAAAAGATCAGAATTAGAGGAGACAGATCTGAGATTTTATTAAAGATTTTGCATTTTCAGTTTCAGAGTTATGTTGAATAATACTTTGGCAGCAACGAAGAAGTGTATGGACTACATGTCTTTGAAAATGTCATTTCTTTATATTAATCTCGGTCATGAATTCTTCTAGCACAGGAAAGACTTCTTCCGAATGGTGGATAGGAATTCTGTGATGTTTCCTGCAATCGTGAAAAGACGTTTTAGAACAGAGTTAAAAGATTATGCCACATGCCTTTCTCTTTTCAATTCGATTCATTGTTACATTTTCTTAGCTGTATATTTATAGTTGTATGATTATTATTAGTAGTAGCAATAGTACTATTACTAGTAGTAGTAGTAGCGATTTATTGTAATCATCATCATCATCCTTTTATATATTACTATTAGTAATATTACTCGTACTAGTGGTTGGTTGGTTGATTTTAAACCGTCTCACTTCCTTATTAAGTTATTTAATGTTGACTTTTATATGGGCTACTCAGCGAGGATCGAACTCACTACTTAGTATTAATTCTTAACCATAATAACCTGACTATCTTCGTCCTAGGTATAACGATAAACTACATCCAGCAACAACATCTCTGATCGGGAGATTAGGGGTTTTGATGAATGTGGAACCACCTCTTAAATGCTGTTCTTTTCACGTCTACCATGACCCGAGAGTGGTAGCA